TTTTTTTTAATGTTTATTTATTTATTTTGAGAGAGAGCACACACGCGTACAAGTGGGGGAGGAACAGAGAGAGAATGAGGGAGAGAATCCCATGCAGGCTCTGCACTGCCAGCACAGATCCTGCTGTGGGACTCAAACCCACAAACTGAGATCATGACCAGAGCTGAAATCAAGAGGCGCTTAACCAACTGAGCCACCCAGGTGCCCTGGTTTTTTCACTTAATGTTAGAAACATCTCTATATGTCAAAAGTACGATTCTATGAATATTGTTAAATGATTTATGTCATTTCATTGTGTGAATACATTACCAGAAGAACTTAAAAACCTATCTAGAAATTTATTATTATTATTTTTTAAGTAATTTCTCCTCCGAATGTGAGGCTTGAATTCACGACCCAAAAGAGGTCTATGCTCCACTTACTGAACCAGCCAGGCATCTTCCCCTCTTAATTTTTTAAAGAAAGGACAGCAAAAATATAAAATTGGTCACAGACATTTTTAAGTTTAATTTACTTTGTTTCCAGGTTTATAATTTTAAGGGCAAAATTGAAATTTCTCCTAATCCTACCACTTAAAAATAAGTCACTATTTTTGTGTTTTTCCTTCCAGTCTCTTCCCCTCCGTGTGTGTGTGTGTGTGTGTGTTTCTTTTTTTTTTTTTTAACAAAATTGCTCAAGGATTTTCTGCATACATTTGAAGATTGGGGAGGGGTCTTATATTGGGGTTTGCAAAGATTCTCTGAGTCTGACCCAAGAGAACACAGTGGGAAACAAGAAGAAATAGTCGGCCTGGGGAAGGGGAGGCTGCTAATGGCCCCGAGTCTAATGTGATCACAGGCCAAAGGGAGGTGGGGGTGTTATTTGCAACGGTAGGGGATGGAATTGTACTGGATTATATCAAGAGCAGAGGAAGTCATTTACACTCTCTAGGGAAGAGATGGACCTGAGGCGATTAGAATTTTTCCAAGTATAACTTTAGTGACTTGTATTACACCAGTGTGCGTGGAAGAGAAAAAGCCCGTGATCTTTTTGGTGATATCAAGAGAATCCTAAGAATTCTCTTATCAGGCAGCCCTTCCAAGGCCCTTTGCAGTTGCTAATCCACTGGGATTTTGAGGGGCTCTTTGCTTTTGGTGAGTAGTCTCATATAGCAGCAGGAAGTGAGGCTGTGGACTGGCCGTACGGTACTGAGCAGGGCTTGGAGGTGGGGGTGGGAGATGCGTAATAAGAAGGGCCGAAGCATTTGTGTCCGGGACAAAAAGAGGAGGAGTGTGCTGTCCTAAAAGGTGAGCATATTTCATGCCCACCAAACCTAACACGTAGGCCCAGCGGTGCCAGACAGGTGCCTGTCACCCTCTCCCACCCCATCTTTCACTCTGGCACAAGCACGTGTGAAAATTGAACACAGGTTCCAAATACGAATTCACTCAGTGAGGCCCGACAGTGCCAGCCTCGACCAGGTGGGCACTGTCTGGGGACCCCCCCCCCACACACACACACTCAGAAAGCTGCCCCTCTGGCTGCTGTTCACGAGCTGCGTGTGCCTCTCTGCCTTCCTCCCCGCCCCCAGGGTTCTGGCTGGTGTGGACCATCATCATCATCCTGAGCTGCTGCTGTGTGTGCCA